TGAATTGTTTAGCCAAACTTAATCTACTGGGAAGGAAAAAAGCTCTTTCCTTTAATATGTGTTAAAGTAAAGCCAGCTTCTAAAAGCAGCTGGGAGTGGGGAAACTATATGAATACATGTATTTTCTACAGGAACTCCCAGACTGAAGGGTAGCTACTTTAAAACAAATAACTACAATTTATAAATGATGCAGAAATAAGGAAATCTCTGGGTTGGTGCACTGTGGCTGCTGGTACGGATAATGCCAGCCCCATCTCGTGAGCCCCGCACAAGGACCTCGCATAGGCACAAGCTCACCTGCTCCGGCAGCTCCTCGCTGCTGACCCCACTGCGGGCACCACGTCCCCAAAACCACGAATCAAACCCACGCTTTTACCCAGAGAAAGGTTTGAAAATACGACCTGGGTGTTTCTCAAAAAGATCACAAGGAAGGAATGACTTTTCCCCCAAATCTTAAGAGTTTTTACACTGAGCCTAGAGGTTTTTTTTTTTTAAAGGCAGGCTGTCAGTTCAAGGGGGTTTGGCGAGGGGCAAATGTCCTCCCAGTGACCAGTGTGATGACGATGGGGTTGGGAACCTCTCTGTGTTCCTACATCAGAAATAAACCCCGATGGGAAAACAGAACTCCCAAACATAAATCCATCATTAAAGATTTTCCAGCTGAAGCTTAAACTCCTGTGGGACACTAAGCATGTTGCACATTAACATGCAGCACAGGTTTCCACCTTACCAGCAGAAGACAGCTCTCCTGGAGGGCTTGGAGACAGGTAGATGGTCTATAAAACCTTGAAAGCCCTTGCAACTTTACAGTCAATGAAGTTTGAGCCAAACTCACATGGCAGGCAGGATAATAAAGTAACTGAAGAACCCAGCGCCTCTGGGGACCCCCGGATGGTCGCATCCAGCCACCCAACCGCCTTCCCCTTGGCACGGGCCTCGTCCCTCCCAGCTCGCTCCGAAAGCCACGCTCCTGGGTCTTCCCAAATTACGCAAGCACAGATCGATTTAGCCATTCCCTGTGACCAAGAGATGAGCTAAAATCCATCTGCCCCTACATATTCACTCGGTGTTCCCCAGCAGCAACAACAGGAATAGACATTTATACGCAGTACTTAAAAAAAAAAAAAAAAAAGCCCAGGGAGGCTTCCTTTTTTCGGGGGAAGAGCAGCCCAGATGAGCTTGGCCAAGGCTGCGGGATCTGACCCCGCCGCAGCTGGCGGCCAACGTGGGGAAATACAAACCCAGCTGTGCTTGCTAGGGGGTCTCATGCTTTCAAAACGCTGTAATCTTGGCAAAAAGGAAAAAAAAGTCGGTCCAATCCTGCAGCCCAGACCTCCCGCCAGCTGGAATCACGGAGCCGGTACCCGCCGCGGTGCTGGTCACCCTCAAATTTGCCTTGGGGAGCCCCAGTTTTGGGTGTGCGGCAGAGCGGGTGCCCCCGGGTACCAGGCAGCGGGTCGGAGGGTTGCAGAAGTAAAACAAACCTGCAATGGCATCAGGAAAATTAAAAAATAATAATAATAATAAAAAAAAAAAAAATCCAAGCAAGGAAACTTCTACAGCAACACAAAACAAAGCTGAAGGGGACAACCTGCCCCGAGGGATCGTCCCTGGGAAATCGCAGTAACGCCGGGGTGCGTTGTGTCGGGGGGGTTTGGGTGTGCAGAAAACTGAACCCCTTGTGTGTGCTCCTCCACGAAGGGAAGCTCGGCTGCCAGCAGTGCAGGACCCAGGGGGCGAGGGGCAGCGTGGTCCCCCCGTCCAGCGTGTCCCCACCACGTGCAGGGACAGGAGCTCGACCTTCCGCGCAGGTTAAACACGAGCATCCTCGAGCCTGTGCTCCCTCTCCCTGCGGGGGCTACGCAGCATCTCCTCCAGCCTTTCCTCTCCGGGATGAAAATACTCCCCTGACCCAGTGTGGCAGCAGGGACCCTCCTAAACATACGGAGGAAGCTTTGGGCGCACGAGTCACCCCATCGCATCCATTTTCAGAGACAAACAGCCCCAGGGCTGCCCCGAGCCAGCGGGCAGGGAGCCGGGGGCACCTTCCCAAGCAGGAGGGCTCGAGGCTTGCTGCAGCAGGCCATGGCCGAGCGAGTACCGAATTCGGCGGGGAGGAAGGCAGCGTGCTCCGAGCCCCGGCCATCCCTGGTGAACACGTCCGGAGCGCATTTGGAGGGGCCGTGCAAACACCGGAGCATCCTCCGCCGGGGCTCCCCGCGGCCCCGCTCCCCTCAGCATCACCTATTCCCTGCGGGGACCCTGCCCAGGGATGTGTGTGTGTGTGGGGGGTGGGTGTCGATTAATTTGAGCGCACACAGGGGGCCTCTCCCGGGAATTTCCTCCCCGGCCTGTGATTTTGGGGGCGATGAGAAAAGGCAGCTGCTGCCCTGCGCTGTGGAGCACCCGGTGCCACAGCAGAGCCACCGCCGGCCACGCGCAGGGACTTTATGCATTCGTAATACCCCAATGCATTCAAAATACCCCAAAAGGATCGGTAACTTTCATTTAGGGAAAGAAAATTAAAAAATAAAACCGCTTAGTTTTGATCTGACAACATCCCCCCGAGACGCCCCCGGCTGCGGTGGGAACCCGAGCAGCCCGGCCACGACCTCCCCGTCTTGGCACCAGCGGCTCTGGGACCTGGTTGGATCTCAAGGAGCAAGTGGGATTAGATCAGGCTCCAGATCAGGGCATGGAAAACTGGGAAAACCCCGCCAAGGTAAAAGAGTTGTCACAGGGGGTTCAGCTGACGGTTGTTTTCACTGATAGACCCAAACCCCGCACCTGGGAGCCGGTGGAGTTTATGTCAGGACCCTCATCCTCCCTGCTGGGTGCTCGGTGGGTGTCCCCATCCCCTCTTCAAAGACATCCGAGGAAGAGGAGTGTGGCAGGAGCAGACCTCAGACAGAGTTATCTTATCTTTCAAATGGATTTATGGCGCGCTGACTTGGGAATGCCACAAAGTTTTACTTCCAGTGCATAGCTCAGGGAAAAAAAAAAAAATCTCTCCAAGAAAACCTCTAGTCAACAGATAAGACAATGTGGTTCCGATTTCCTCACCCCCTCTAAATAATTGTTTCTTCTCTTTTTAAGAATTTTGTCTCAGGGAAACGTTTCTAATTTAATCCCCTGAGTGCACCTTCCTCACTGCTTTGAATGTGTATTATCTTCCAGCCAGTGCTGCAGAGCAGAGCAAGAATTTTTGATTTAAAAAAAAAAAAAAAGGCAAAAAAGAAAGAAGTCTTAACAAGCACAATGCACAGCAAACAGGAATGGAAATGCCGGTCTGGGTTCCATTAGCCCTGACCCAGAGGTTGGAAACCAAAATAAATTAATTAAATTGGGGAGAGGGGAGGCCAGCACCATTTGCTGCCAGTGAGCAGCCCACGAGGGATGCCCGGGGGATGTCTGTCACCCATCACCCGTTGTCACCCATGCAGGGGGGCACCCTCACCCCGTGCTCTTACCGAAGCTGCCGGCTCCTCGGCACCCATGGAGATGGCCGGGGTTGCCCACTCACTGAAGGACAGAGCGGAGAGAGTGGCTGGGGGGGCACAGTTGCTTTTTACAGCGACTTAAAATCCCCCGGTTTTGCGTAGAGGATCCCAAGGCAGGGACCCTCGGCAGAGGGATGGGTGCTGCCACAGAGGTGGGATCTCAAAACAGCTTTTTGGTGCGGTGGGGCCGGCCCCGAGGAGGTAAGGATGGTGCTGGTGGCAGGGGGCAGCCGGGCATGGGCTCTGCAGAGAGGGGGAAGGTGAAAAGTGCCTTTTCATGGGAGGCTCTGTAATCCCGTCGAGCCAGAGAGCACACGGACGGCGTGTGCTGCTCTCGACCAACTCACCTGCCACAAAAATCCTGCCCAAGGTCCTGCGAGAGGTGAGACGGGGCCATGGGACGGGCTCCAGCCTTTCTCCGTGCATCCGACTCCAGGGCTCAATTTCAGCCGTGGAAGAATAAAATAACCAATTAAATAAAATGCTTCAAATAACGTCCGGCAATGAGGTAAGCGCAGCCAGCGCCTGAGCTCACGTAGATGGAGATGGATGCTCGGCGTGAAGCCGCGCCGGTATCTCCCACGTCCATCGAGACACAGAACCCCACGCATGAGCTACGCCGGATCCCGACGGACACAGCCTGGCCTCCATTGTCCCCAGCCCCTTGGCGGGTTGGCCGAGCCGGGGAGGACGATAATGGGAGTGAGATGTGGGATCGTGGCGTTCGCCCTCGTCCCTCCGCCCAGTAATCGGAACAAAATGTTCTTCCATTGTGTGCAGAAGAGACTTGGTTTCCAACTATGGCAAATATTTAGGAAAACACAACTGAGTCATAAAGGTTATTTACAATTTGGAGCGCTCTATACGTTGCTCCGAGCCCCGCAATTAAAATATTCGTCGTGGTTCGAACACGACTGGGGAACAGAGAGGATTTTCCCAGTCCCCGGCCAAGAGCGTTAACGCCTTGCAGAAGCGCGGCGGCTCCGAGCGATGGGCTCTGTGCCTCCGCTGCTGTCACAGCTGCCCTGGGTGCCAACTGCCAGCATCGCTCCCTGGCAAAGGCGGGCACCTCCCGGGACCCCGCCAGCACCCGGGCAGGAGGGCACCGGGGGGTCCTCCCGCTCCCTCCAGCCATCCCGGAGAGCTGCGTCCATCAGGGATGGAAAACGCAAGCGTAAAGCAAGAGGGAGCCCTGTGGAAACGCTCCCCGGGGAAGGGAAGGGGAGAGCTGTGCTCTCACAGCCCGGGCTCGCCGGGACGGGGATCAGAGCTCGGACAGGACACCACGCTCTCCCTCAATTTCAAAGAAGTGCTGCAACACCCAGGACTCACCTTATTTATTACCTCGGCCCCGCGGGAGCCGGCGCGTCCCCAGCGAGCCGCATCAGGGCAGGCACCGACCGGGGGACTGCGCCTGGGGCTGGGCTGCCCTCCCGGGGCTGCTGCCGTTTTCCCTTTTGAACGCTTTTAGAGAAAATAAAAAAGAAGTGAAGCTCCCGCTGGTTATTCAAGAGCTGTCCGCTTTAATCCCTTTCCAGAAATATACTCGGTGGTGCCCGTTCGGTACAATCGGGGTCAAAAAGGGGTAAGAAACGTGTAAAATGGCATTTCTGTGCCCGCGCTCACAGCCTGCGCCGCCTCGTGCCAGTGCCGGTGCCGACTGTACCCGCCGGTTTGCTTTGCCCGGTTTGGACCCGGTTTTTCTTTTGAAAACATTCGGCTGCTTTGGGCGCATCTCGCGCCGGAGGGGACGGGCTCAGCTGGATGAGCCCCAGGGATGCGCCCACCGCCTCTGCCCCCCAGGGTGCCCACCCCCCACCGGGCCCCGCCAGGTTGGTGGCCCCTGGCGAGGGTGGCTCTGCGCCGCTTCACAGCCCAGCACGCAGCGACGCCTTCCCCTTCGCTTGTGGCTTGGGTTGAATTTGCTCTGGAAGGGTGAAAGCCTTTATTGTAAGCTTTCCAGCCACTGGAATTCCTCTCCGGGGCGGGGGGGGGGGGGCAAGGTGAACGCCACTGGAAAAACCCAGCGGGGGGGAAAAGCCTGGCAAGCCCCTTCCTGCGCATCTCCCTGCCCTCCCCTGCTTGGGTGCGTGGGCTGTCGGCGCTGGACCGTGCCCGTGGGACGCTCAGCCCCGTACTCCGCCAGCTCCCCGAAGAGGCAGATTTCGGGGCCGCCAACAAAAAGCGCCAGTTCTAAAAATCCCCAGGTTAAGCAAACAGGAAGGCGCAGGCCAGCGCGGGACCCGTTGAAAGGCGGCGGGGCTGGCGGCAGACTTGTTGACTCCGGGCTCTTGCCCCAACCGGCCGCGGCGACCCGCGAGCATCGGCACCGCGGGGCCATGGGCCGGGGCGGCCGCACAGGGCTGCGCTTGTCCTCGGCGCCGCGTCACCGAGCCCACGCGGCAGCTCCAGCAAGGAGCTATTTCGGGTTTTCTCAGTAAACCTGCGGCTTTCAAGCCTGATACAACGGGGGTTTATGCATCACACAGGTTGCTTTGATCTTTTTTTTTTTTTTTTTTTCTTTTTTCCCCTGCAAGAAGAACCGTGTGCAGCAGAATGTGCTAACAAGCAATCGATTATTATAAACCACCCTGGCCAGCTGATGGCTGTTTCAGACACCATGTTCTTGCTCTCATTTCCCTCCCCATCGCTGTGATTCGGGCTCGCCGAGCAAAACCCACGCGGGGGGGCACAATTTTGGGGGGGATTTTAAACACGAACCGAGGTGAGGGGGACACTCCAAAGCAAACAGGAGGGACAGGGGAAATTCAGGCAGGACACGTAGCTCAGCCTGGTCATTAACCTGTGGGGAGAAGGTTGCAACTGGGCCCTGCTCGGGGTGACGACGAGGGCAGCGTGGGGACAGCTGTGTTGGGAATAAAGCAGCTTTGCTGGCTCGGTGCTGGTGGCACACGTCGGGGTGGGATGGAGGAGCAGGACTCGGCTGCTCTGCCCCATGCCAGACCCCACGGAGCCTGTGAGCCCTGGGGGGGGGGGCACCGGCTGAGGCAGGAGACCACCCCGAAATCTCCCCTCATGCCTCTACAGCCATCACACGAAGCAACGGGTCAGCGAAAGCCACACCAACACCTGCCCAAAACTAATTGCGGGATTTGTTCACCTTTTTCCACAAATTCTAGAGCTGACGGTTTCCAAACAGAGCAGCCTGGCATAAGAAATCCATCACCAGGCATGGCTGTGGCGAGAAGGATGACCAGAAAGAAAGAGAACGATGAGGAAAACCAGACCACAACAGCAGGTGGGCAGGTTGGCTGGGAACCTTCTGTATAATACGTGTAAATAAGGATTTGGATGAAAAATACAGACAGAAGCAAGACATGTAGTTTGTGCAGGAGCTGACTGCTCTCCCTCTTCCCCAGCCGGTCCCTCTCGACCTCGTTCGTCCTCCTCCATCAGTCCTGCACGGGGTACGGCCAATTCCTGTCTTCATAAAACTTCTTCAGGCCCTGGAGGTTGACAGGGGGGAAGTAAGGCCCGATCCTCTTCCGAATCCACCACCTCCCCTCGCTGGCGTGCTTTCCCCCGGGTCGGCTGAATTTATACTTGAAGTGTTCCCCTCGAATCCACCTGCAGAGAAACAAAGCACAGCCTGCTCAGGAGGGGCTGGCACCGCTGCCGGGCCGAGGCACAAAGGAGTCAGACCCTATTTACGGACCCCTGGGAGTGGAGTTTTTGAGCTTTTCCGTCACTGGGTGGACAAACCAGCTCGCGGGCGCTCAGCCTGGCTGCCTCCCGCATGCCGGTGTCCCCGAGATGCCCTTGCTCCAATTTCGGGACGATGGACGAGGCGGAGGAGCTTTAACACCCCCAACCTGTCCGCTGCTCCCCGCTGCCGCCGCACGCTACAACCAAGTTTGAAAGAAAATAATAAAAGCAGGAAAATGACTTTTTTTTTTTTTTTTTTTTTTTTTTTTTTTCTTTTCTGAGAGTAACTATGGAGCATTTCTGCCTGGGACATTTTTAGGTAGAGCCCAACTCCCACCCCAGCTCCCCCAGCATCCCTCTGCCTCAGCCAGCGGCTGCTCCTGCTCCGCAGCTTATTAGCAGGGCTACGAGCGCATCTGTTTTCTGGCCGCCTTGGGAGTTGACAGAAAAGGAGATTTTAAAACAGTGCAGAAAGAAGCATTCATCAGTGTCGCGAAACACATTCGGAGGCTAACCATGCCGCTCGGTTTCGGGAGGTTTGGTCCCGCTTGATGTAGGGCATGCTGACAAGAGAAGGAGCAACACCCCGGTCCTCCAGCGTTGTGGTCCCTGTTTGCAGAGTGCATCGCTGCGTTGGCTGGATAAGTTCATAAAATAACCCACAATATAAAAATGTCAAAGTCATGTCAATGCTCATTTAAACCTGCTTTGCTTCACTACTAAAATACAAACCCTGCTACTGAGCGGGGCACCACGCTCCCGCAGCTGCTCGCTCCCGGGGCTGCACCTCGGGCAGCCGTAAAGTTCCTTCCTACTGCTAAAATAATTAGGGACGACTCCTATATATTTGCCGTTAGCGCTCGCCTCCGTAACACGGGCACCGCGAGGGGAAGCAGGGGGGAGATTGCAGACGACGGACGGAACTGCAGCCGGGGAAGAGGTCTGCTGCCATCACAACTCGACACCGCAATTGAAATCTTGCTGGGTACCCGGGTGAGCCACACGGAAAGGATGCTCCTGAGGAACCACGTTAACGCGGGGCTCTTCGTCACACCCGTCGCCTGCTGCTGACTCGCAGCATCATCTGCTTGCTGATTGTCTCCTGGCCGGAATGAAAACAGGACAAATATCTCCGTGTTTCCCCCTCCGCTGAGGACAAAGCGAGGATCCAAGGGAGCTCAGGCTAAAGCATTTGGAGCTGCACTGGGACAGCTCGAAGTTAAATTACTGGTAAGGGCTGGGTGCCAAGGGGAGCGTGGGGATGGAGGTGTCCCCTGATGCCGTACCGCTCCGTGGCAGAGCCTCCTGAGCTGCCCTGGCACCCCACCTTGCTGCCCGCTCACTGGGGGTGCAGGGAGGCAGGAGAGCAGCCCGCAAATACAGGAAGGTAAATGGGAAAAGGAGGGGGCGATGCCACAGCCCTGGCTGGGGGCTCGGGGTGCACAAACCTGCATCTCATCACCATAAACGCTGCCCCGCAGCTGCTGGCTTCATTACAGTCAAGGCCGTTTCTACACCCTCTCTCCCCCCTCTTTTCTGAGGCTGGTAAAAGTCAAAGGGGGGCTGAAGTGTTACTCCCACAGTGTTTACTTCGCAGGAGCACAAAATTTCCTGTTGATAATTAGAGCGTTACTGAACAGAAACGCTCCCGCGGGTCCAGGTAGCCCGCAGGCTTCTGTCCGGGATGGTTAGAGATTTCCAAGCTGTGCTGCTTGATTGCTTTCTTGAATTCAAACAAACATAGCCACCTCCCCCCAAAAAGCTTCAGTGGCTGATGTTATGTCACTCCCTCTCCTGCTCAAAGCCTCCCTCCGCCCGCCACACCGGGGCTTTTGGGTTTTTTTTTTTTTCACTAAGCGACTGCGGAGCATCTACCAAGCTGGGCCTGTCTATGTACACCCACAATCTGGGTGTAAGGGGGTGCCCCACGCTGACGGAGCTATCTGCAAACCCCACCTGGCAAAGTTCCCGTTTTCCAGACGGGGATGCAGAGTGCAGGGAGCAGTTGATTTTTCCGAGCTCCCAGGGCAGACCCAGGAGCCCTCAGGAGATGCCAGGTCTCTGCTCAGACACAGAAGCGCTTTCTCCCCACCCTCAAGGACTGTCCTATAACCCCTCTGGAATGAAAACGTCCTTGTCCCTTTTGAATGGGCTCGCCTGCTCAGATTAAATAATATCTATCATCTGATTTGGTATGATTTTTCCCATATGTTCTCTGTCTATTAAAATGTTTGCTATCAAAGGGATCGGCATGTAAAACTAGAACCGTGTGAGCATTAAAGCGACCACATGCAATTGAAGATGCATTTTTGTGGCATAAAGTTTGCCTTTCTATCTGACGACGTTTCAGGCTCTTCTGTTCAGAGCCGAAATCAACCTGAAGGGTCCTCCCAAGCCCCCCCGACCTCTAACTTCAGCCACCCTCTTGTCCCAGCCACCGTCCCTGCGCTTCCCCCGGCCCGCTCCACCTGCGCGTTGGGATGCACGGTCCACGCCAGGATGACAAGGTCCACGGAGGAGGAACCTGCACAGCCCCGTGGGCTGTGGAGTTTGTAAAGTCCAAGGAGCCGAGCCCTTCCAGGAACTGAACCACTCACCCAGCAATGAGCTATAAAGCTCCGGCGCACCCCAGCCCACGGCCCTTCGCTGTCCTGCACCGCCAGCGCTTCTCTGGGATTCAAAACTTGAAGGTTTCCGTTCTGGTAAAGGGAGATACCAAAGAGCTGCAGCAGCCAACGTGTGCTGCAGGACAGAGAAACTCCAGCGGGCATGCTTCTGAGCATCACGATACCTCTGAGCAGCAAAACACAAGGGCAGCATCCAGACCCCATGCTCTCTGTCCTTCCCGGGGTTAGGGGCTGCAGGAAAAACACAGAAAACCTGGAACCCGTGGGCATCTTTCCCTGCAAGGCTCACGGATGTAAAAGCTGCAGTTTAATACTCACTGGAGCCCCTCATTTCAGGGCTCATAGAGTTTACAAGCTACCCCAGTATTTATAATCTACCTGGGTGCCTCAGTCCTGAAGTTACAGGATTTGCCAACTCCTCCAGCGCCGCCTCGCTGGGCCGGCTCCCTCCTCCCGGGATTTGGGGAGCGAACGTGCTCCTGCACGAACAGGGCTGGAGCATTAACGCCCCGGAGTCCATCATTTCAGGGCTCACAGAGTTTACAAGCATCACTTGGAGCCCTGGACAGCTTGTAACTCAGGCAGGCCGCCTGCATGCGCGGTTGCCTGCAGATTAAGAAGCTTCCATAAGCTACAGCTCACCTTATCAGCGATAACTCGTGATTTTTGCAACTCTGGGGCTCAGGCGAAGACCTTCTGGCTGGTGGAAGGGACCCACAGGTCCCTGAGCCCCCTCTGACGCAGGAAACTTTTGGCATGTGTGAACCTTGCTTGCTGCTCTGGAGAAAGGGGAACATCTGCAAGAAGGTCCCAGGGAAGCCACCCAACTTTGTCTACATTACAAGGAGCCTAATGCCACAGGTGGTCACTCATACTCGGAGAAGGATGAGCAAGACTCTTGTTTCAGAGAAGACAGAAAGGTCAGGAAGGACAATCCCAGCTGCAGTTTCCCAGGATTTACTGAGTGAACACAAGCTGGCAGCTCCTCCTGGCTCCCCAGGGAGCACCAGGCACTGGTTACCGCAGCCGGGCAGGGAAACGGCGCAGGAGGAGCATCAGGCTGAACCAGCTGAGCCCAGTTAGCTCCCTCAGGAGGCACACGAGGGCAAAATAATCACCTGAGAAGCCAGAAACAAGATACAGTCAGATAAAGCAAGTTAGACGTTTCTCCTGCAGGAGATGGAAAACCCTCTCTGCTATGACAACAACGGGGACACGGGACAAAGGACAGAAGGGACATGGGACAAGGGACAGAAGGGACATGGGACAAGGGACAAGGGACAGAAAGGCCCCTTTGGCAGCTCCTTCCCAGCCCAACGGTGGTGGCCAGGAGGTGCTGGCAGAGCGATGGCACTGGTCCCGGTGTGGATGGCTGGAGGAGGGAGGACCCACCACCCTGCACCGGGTGCCGGGACCCAACCGCCACCACCCTTCTGGGCAAGCACCCGCTCTCCATCACCACCTGGATCGGGCAAGGCTACGGCCTCAGGGAAGGCAGAAAGGCTAAAAATAATAAGCATTATTTTTTAAATCAATATATTCATCCCGCCAGATGCCCGGTAGCAGCTGCGCTGTAGCACTTTTAAGATTCGATCATATATCAGCCTATTATGACATCTTCCAACTGTACGTGTTAAAAATTAGCAGCAATATTGGAGTTGTTGGGATGGAAGGCTAAATCTCCCAGACAGCTGTAATTAGTTCCAGAGGGTGCAGCTGTCTCCCTGCAACAGCTGAGGGGTTCGAGGGAAAAAACCAGAGCCGGTGGTTTCTGTTAGAATTAATGGCCTGACAGGGCAAAGCGGGGTGGGAGAGGGAAGAAAGAAACCAAAACACGGGGCGTCTTTTCGAATTTTTTTTTTTTTTTTTTTATCTCAAGGTTCCCCACTCCCTTGTAAATCAGGGAGCAAGTGGCAGTGGAAAGTACAAATTCATTACAGTAACAGAGCCTCCATCATCGGCTTTCTTGCTTATTCTAGCCCCGTTAGCAGGAGGGATCATAAATTCATCTTGGCCCAAGTTTGCAGAATAAGGGCAGTTTTATGGATTGTTTTTCAACGCCGCTGACTTCTCCTTCTCCAAGGCTCCTGCGAGGTCTGGATCTGCAGAGCCAGAGCATCCCACGACCAGTTTATCCTCAAAAATCTTTTGGGAGGTGGCTAAGTGCGGTTTTTTCCCCCATGGCCAGGTTAGAAAGGGAGGCTCAGAGGTTGTGTCTATACCAAGGGCTGAGCAAACCTCAGGGGAAGGAAACCTGCCTCTCCCCGGGGCTCACAGCACTGGCCGGGATGATTT